GGGAAAAGGCTTGCAGAGACTGAACAACACTTGTTCTGACCACGTTGTTCCGTTAAATGGATGCTCGCTGCTAGACACTGGACCAATAGCGGTCAGTACATCCACAAAGTCTCTGACGTACTGTCCATGCAAAAAAATTGCAAAGCAAGGATCGGATAATCAATGCTCTCAAGATCTCTCAAGTATAGTGTGCTTGAAGGTTGCTTTTCGTTCCTAATGGTTTGCCGTGCATGCGATCTCACTGTGTGAAGTGCCCGCAAGCTCCCGTACTTCCCTTCATGCGCAGGTGGCCTATTTCTTCTGGCCGCCGAGGCATATATTGGAATCTCAGTCAAACGCCACCAGATAGTTGGACAGTTGAAGTGCAGCAAAGCGGTCAATTACTGTCACTGCAGAAGCATTGACGGACCAATCCTGATGATCAACTCTCAAGCAAACCTGGTAGTGGCACATGGGCCCCCAAGATCCCCAAGAAAGACCAAGTTCCTTCGCAATGGGATATACAAAAAGGTCATGGTCCACTTCCGTGCTGCTTTGAGGGAACACACACACATCAAATGCATACACGATGTCCAGTTGTGATTTGTTCCCAGCCACAGGCTTCAGTTAAGACCATTTTGCAACGCACGAGTTGTGGCAAGCCTCCATTCATTGATGTCTAGATTCCAATGAGAGCAAACTGTAGATGTTGTGGTCTGCGAAGCTACCAAGACTTGGTGCCTTCAAGTAGATTTGACTTTTGGATATGATCAATAGCTTGTGGTTTCGGTGAAAAAGCATGATTGCATCTTGCGCCAGGAGTCCCCAAGAGTCAGATTCAACTGCTGCCTGGGTGAAGCACCCGTTACAGCTGCAACTGCTGCAAGCAGGTCTCAGCTCCTATGATTCAGGCAGATTGCGTTCTAGCAAAAATGACAAATTCCTGCTCAAATTTGCAATTTAAAAAACAGAACAAACACACAGTAACAAACCCTGTCTACACTCGCCATCAAATAACAAATGATGCTGTCAAAACTGGTCGGTTCCATGAATGCTGACCTGCGAGAGCCGCAACCTGTCCATCAGGTTGAAGCTATGTATCAATTTATCACCTACCTGCCCAACCTAATAGCGATGGGTGCCGGATCAGAAAATGATAGGGATCAAACAGGCGCAGCTTTTTTCTCGCCTTGAGGGTGTGGTAAGCGTTTTTCTAGTAGTAGTAGTAGTAGTAGTAGTAGCAGCAGGAGTAGTAGTAGTAGTAGGCACGTTGCTGCGTCGGGCACGACTCCCTGTAAATACCAACGTTTTGCGCTAGCGGTGTCTAATCACGAAAAAGAATCGTTGCACCTCCCTCCTCTAAATTCTACCCTCTGCTGACAAAAGGTCTGCCACATTGAAATGGCACGTGGCTTTTATAAAAGGCCTGCGACCTTGGAATGGTACCTTCCTCAAGCAACTGTATGGATCGGCCCGCCGGCGGATCTGTACTCTATGACACTCAAACAACTGCAGTTGAGATGGTTTTGCAATTATATAATTCACAGTCGTTTTGGGAAGCATCCCTCTTCGGCAATCCGTTTGTCTGGCATGATCTTGTTCAAGGTTCCAGGCCATACACGTACGACAAGCATCGTTCAAATGCCTATCCCGCACATCGCGTTGGCACGATGGCTTCACATGAAAGGGTGACTCTTTGGAGTTCCCACAGATGGTTTCAACAATGTTTCAACAGCCACAACCCAATTTGGTTAGATTCAGTAAAAACTCAACAAATGCAAAAAATAAACAACAAAAGCAAAGCAATTGCAAACGCCAAAAGAAAGGAATGAAAAAAAGGCTTTCTTTGGGCTTGGCATGGGTCTTCACTTCTTCAGGATTTCTTTGGGTTTGTGTTGGGGTTTCACCTTTCTAGGAGTTCTTTGGCTTTGGTTGGGGGCCAGAGGACCAACCCAGGGACCAAAGGACCAGTGCACCAAAGGACGCTAGGACCAGGGAGCAAGGGAGCAGGACGAGGGAACCAAGGCACCAGGCGACCAAGGGACCCGGGAAACAAAGTGTTGTTGATACTTATTATGTGTTCTTGATGCATCATGTTTGGATGCTTTTGGTTTTTTGGATACCTATCCCCTTGGCATGGGTCCGGGCACCATGGAAACATATGTTTGTTGATGCTTATCATTTTTTGATACCTCTCCCAATAGCGATGGCTTTCAACCTAATAGTGGTGGCCTCCAACCTCCAACCTAGCGATGGCCTCCACCAGCCTTTAACGAATTCAAAAGGGCTCTGCTACATGACCAGCCGTCCTTGCGGCCCTTGGACCAGGCCTTGGTGTTGGACAGCAGTCTCTCGTCGAGGGGCGAGCTGACTTCTTGTCGGTGAGAAAGAAACATAGTTGGGAGTGACAATGAGGAAAATAAGTTTGGTATCTACCTATATATGCCTTACTGATTCCTTTGAACATGAAGCTTGGTCGTGAATTTTGTTGCCAATAAAGTTGAAGCACGATCCATACACACTATGTAGACTGCCTAAATAAATTGTTCAATGGGATGGAATATCAACATGTGTCCCCAGAAATTGATGAAAATTGTGCTCAACATGCTATCAATCGATCTCTTTCTGAAATTTGATAGAGGGATGGACAAGTGTGAAAAATGTTTTAGAAATGGAATTGCTTTTCATTCCCCTTGCTTCGATCCCCCCAGATTCCTTGCATTAGGTTTGGGGAATTCCGTTTAGTTCTTTGTTTGGGGGGCCTTCAACAAATCCAACCTTTTTGTGCTTGTGCGTGGCTAAGACTATGCTCTGAACTATTGGGCCCAGGGCCTTAACCTGCTGTGGTGGAAGCCAGCAAACTTGCTTAAGACCCTGCTTCTGCCAGCAAAGCGACATGGCTGCTGTACTCATGACCGCAAAAACACCTGTAGGCTGGTCAAAGGAAGGCGCCGACTGTGGAAGAAGGGAAAGGAAGGCCTCGTTTCAACTTCTGGCACAAAAGGTACACAACAGGCACATATGGACAAGCACAAGTGAAATGCTTCAGGGCCCTCTTGCGGGAACTGTTGCCTGTATGGCAGTTGTGCATCAGGAAAGAATTGATGCATGCTTTGGTGGGCTGCTTTGGGAACATCTCCACTGTTAAAACCCAACCACAACCTGAACAATAGCATAAACATGTACAAACAAACTGATTTGTATGTAATTCCCTTCAAACGAAGCAAACTTCTCTGGCGCTGAACCGGATCTTTGCAGGCCCTGGGTGGATACCCCATGTGCCCTTACAAGAGGCATGGCCCCCAAGGTGCGCCCATTGCAAGTGACCTTGGAAAATGTGTTTCTCGCTTACAATTGCTCCCATAACCCCTAGTGGCCCTAGTCCTCACCTCAACCTCTTCGTGCAAAAGGTTGACGTAAGCAATATCTTTGCAAGATCCATGAGTTGCGGGGCTCAAAATGGTATGTTCGCAACGGGGAATAAAGACAATACGATACTGCACGGTTGTATGTTCGCAAAGCGTGGTGTTGCATGTTTTTTTTGACCGACATGCCCACAGACTTTGCTTTAAGGATTGGGATATCTCTGAACACTAGTTAAGCGGAGCTTGTGCCATGCGAGCCGTCATTGAACAGCTACTATCCAAACGAAATACAGTAGTTGCATTCGCATGATAATCATATTGATCTACCCGTAGTTAGATCTGTGAATTTCCAATCTAGCTTCTAGCTCTTTGTGGAAAGGCTGCCCCCTTCCGGGTGACCCCGGTTCCGGACACTCCCAGCGGCCTGGAAGATGGACCTATTCGACCACAGAAGTCATGACCACTTGCTGCATTCCGCCAGACCTTAGGTTTTTGCCAAGGAGTCCACTACAATATGCGGGCCAGACCTTATGAACCTCCACACCTGTCCTTGGATCCATTGGTTACCTAGAGCCAGCGGCATGGCATTCCCTATCCACCACGGCATATGTGGCACAAAGGTTTATTCCGCAAGTAGCTTTGCCAGAGGGGTTTTCAATTCTTGTATAGGAACGAACGATCCTTGACCAAAATGATGCTGCTATGCCCTTCTGGATACTGGGCTGCTTTGTCTCCCTTTGTCTCCCATGGCTCTTCTGGATGCCGGGCTGAGATGATTCTGCTTTGCCTCCCTTTGTCTCCCAGGGCTCTTCTTGGATGCTGGGCTGAAATGATTCTGCTCTCTCTCCCTGTGTTTGTCGTAGTTCTTCTGGATGGGCTAGGATGATTCCGCTCTGTCTTCCACGCACCTGTCCCTTCTTGTCTCCCTACTGGCATCCTGTCATGAGATGATTTCCTCTTTGTCTCCAGATTGGTTCTCTTGCATCGTGTCCCGAGATGACTTCCCCCGCGTCTCCCTTCGTCTCCTGTCACAACATGACTTCCCCTTTGTCTCCCCACATGTCTCCGCCCTTCCTGTCTCTGCTCGTGTGCTGTCATGACAACATGATTTCCCTTTTGTCTCCCCGCATTGACACGCACGAGAAGACATATACAATCATATACATATGCCTTCCGACATGCAACCTCACTTGCATTTGTCGAAGTACACAGATGCACCTCCGAAAGTGCCCAAGGGCGTGCTTTTGAAAAGAACATGTTCTGCTATGAATTCAAACCAGCTGAACAAGTGCTGGCAAGAGTAGGGCATGGTGAGATGTAGTCATTCTTCGGGTCGCACAGTTATAGCACCACAAATATAAATCCTGTAAAACATAGCTTTGCCTCCCTTCTGGCGCACTGTTTGGGGTCGATGCGGAAGCTTGATCCGGGCTCACCAAATGCTGTGACTGGGTCAACTTAAGTCAAACTTAGATATAAATTATATGTAATATGTATATGTTTCCTGAAGGGTCGAACCGGTGAGTTTTGTTCCACTACTTGCGACATCTTGACACCTTGGGTCTGTGGCCTTCACTCTGATTTGTCGGATCCCTTAGAACATTCTTCCTGTACATCCTCTCATTCCCCATGCAAGCTTGCCAAACACTTCTTTTTGGCTGTCAGGCGCTTCCGTCTTCAATCAACTTCCCTGTCCATGGCTGTGCCACGTGTGCCGGAGCTGTGGGCCTCTCACTTAGCTCCAAGTTGTGACGCATCCTCCAGGGATTCGTCGTGAAAAGCATTGCTTTTAACCACAATCCTTAACCATCGAACATTTGTGAAAGCAAAGTTCTGTTCAAGACCCTGATCCCACGTCCTCCAAGAAGTTGAAGACTTGAAGATCAATTGCCTTGATTCCAGGAGAGCAAGAGCGCAGGTGTTGTCTCCCAACGTCATGCAAAACGCCAGGCCATACCTGACCGCCGTGGCGAAGCCATACACTTTTGGATGCTGAAATGTTGTTACTGGCGAGTGGGGTGTGGCGGTATTGTCTTTTCAACAACTCACTGCCTAATCTTCCTGCCTTGCCCTTGATAGTTTGGGCCTTGCTCGCTTGTTCTTCGGCCAAAAGCCACCATGGAATCCATGTTTTGTGTTTGCTGAACTGAACAGGTCAATGCACACTTTCTGGAAGAGAATTCCGTTCAGTCTTGGATAACTACCTGTGTTACAAACGAGTGTTTGCTTTAGAAAAGCCCGACTGTTGCCAAAGGAGGAAGTGTGCTATCATTGGCTCGACCAACAGTCCAAAACTCGGGGAGTTTCATCAAGATCAAGCCTCCCCTCCAAAAGGTAGGAAACTACAACTCACAACGAAGGAATCATCCTTCAAGAAAACATGTCAAAAGAATCAAAACGAAGGCAATTGCTGAAAAAAGGCTTCGCTTGCATCAACCAATAAGCTGAGGTTCATTCGTGGGTGGAATGAGCTGCAGGAAGGGACAATCGCGAAACTGCACAACTGGTCCCGCTAACTCAGCACACCATCCTCAGGCATTCAGGCTAGGGGCAGGTCAATGAGTTTCAATAGGATGTTCTGGCCTGGCATTTCAATTCTGGTGTAAGTTCAAACAAACTTACAAGAGCTGGAAAGAGATGGAAAGAGTAGTTTTCCAACCCTACTCCGGGCCCACAAGCTCATGGACCTCATGACTTCCACCAGCCAATCAACAGCGGAGGATGGGTTAAAACAGTTGGTACACCAAAAAGCCGATGCGAACATCTCTGCGAGGCTATAACATCTCTGCGAATCAAGTTGGTGGAACCCACACCATGGCATGTGGCTGGGAGATTGGATTTTTGAGCAGCTCTTGGATTCGGTGCCGAGTAGCTCGCAGGTCTCAGGTTGAAATCCGCTCCAACGGCTTGTGTTCATCCTAGCAAGATGTGAGTTAAGACTCCCAAGAGTTCACGATTTCTCTTCGCAAAGGCGTGCAAAGTAAGCAAATGCCTTTCCCAACCCCATCCAAGGTTGCTTGTCTATCACGTTTATATAGTTGTACAAACAACAAGGAAGCTCTCCTGTGAACCAGGACACTTCGATCAGTGCATGCCTTGGAGAAGGTACTCCTGCAGGCAACCAGAGAGAGAGAGAGAGAGGACAGAAGGTAGCCTTATATTGGATGTACAAATATTTATATAAAGTTTAAATAAAATTTAAAGTAGTTTGTACTCCAGGACCTGCCACAGCCAATCTGCATTTGTTCAATAGATAATCTCTATCAAGAACAACTCAGAAACTCAGTCGCGATTGCTCACAGTGCATGGCTCTTTGCATTATCTCACAGCCATGTTTATTTGATCCTCCTCAGTGTCTACCATTTGGTGTTCCCAATGGTCTTAATACTCGCCTAATACTTGGACTTAACCGGTCAAAGGGCTATCATAGCGACTGTAATCGCTCTCGTTTCGGCCGACATGGCCACTCAAAACTTCTGCTGGGAAAAGCATCATTGGAAGGAGTCAAACGGGCCTAACTGATTACGATGCTTATGCACATGGGGCCGACATGCTAAGCATTGCCCGGCCACCAGCGTCCTCGCATCTGGATGGTCATGAAAAAAGCCTTCATTCATGCCTAAGGATCCATTCATACCATGTTGGCCACTGTTTGAGGAATCTCATTAGTCATATCTACTATAGCCATATCTGCATCGTCTCAGTCTGCGGAGACTCGCTGATATCCCCCTTTATCCATTACACAGGAGGACCTAGCAAGCTCATCCTGTGAGAAACAAGAAGCATATCCAATATTACATCAGCTATATAGTAACATCTAGTAACTCTTTCACTCATCACCAGTCATGATTTGTTTCTCAATTGGTTCCGTAAAGTTCTGACTGCTTCTTGCCAAGAAACTTACAAATCGCACTCCTTCCAACGGCGCGAGCCAGAAGCCTAGCGAGACCTGAGCAGTCAAGAAAAGCGGTGCAAGGCAAAGCTGATCTGACAAAAAAACAGTTTGCATATGTCATGTGTGGATGATGTGTTTGTTATCAAGAGCATCAGATTCTCATCAAAACACCTCCGCATCACGTCAAAGAGAGGCTTGAGTAGGGTTGGAAAAAAGACCGTGGGGGTCCCAAAACTTTCCAACTGGTCGAGGGACATCTGCAGCCCCTTTGCTCTTCAAGCGGTGCGCATTGCGGCCAAGAAAGCGCACGATCCTGCCAAGGACACCAGTGAGCCGGGGATTGTGGTTGATGCGCGTCTGAGCAGCACACAATGGCACAAGGGGATGTCATAAATTGCATCCCTTGAACGAAATGAGGGGAGCCTAGCCATTGCTTTATTAACTGTTTGCGGAATGTATTCAAGCATAATACCGCAAACGCGGAGAGAAATGTTGCAAATGGAGAAGTTCCAGGGTCCAGTTCTGGGTGATGCTGAGTTTTGACAGTCCATGCATGGATCCGACCTGCGTGAAGAAATGTGGTGTTTGTGTTTGAACAATCCAAATCACAGCTTTGTGATTGTTCATAATGCGCATATAGGATTGAATAACATCCCCTGATTCGTCAAGCCCATCTCGACCCCCAACACTAAACCAATTTATCGCCTTATTTTTTACATTGGCCTCCCTCAAAAAAAAATGCAAAAACATTCCCTATTAATGAAGCCCATCTGCCGCCAGTTGCAATCAAGTATACTGTTTTACAGTTGCAATCAAGTTGCTTCTCTTTTCAGCTAGCATCCAATATCTTCCCATGGTGAAACTCATCCAATGGTGAAACTGATCTTTTGATCCAACCTTCTGATTGCTTCTGCTGAAGGCTCATGCTACCAACCATTCTGATTACCAATGTTCTCCCAAGCAGCATGTCTCCACAGTCCCTACAAACTCTCTAGCAAAATTCATTCATTTTCCTGATTAAGTCACCATCAAAATATTAAGGCTTTCAAGCTCAGAAGGGGTACCCCTCACACAGTGCCTACCCCCCTCTAATAGTGAGGGGCACCTCCCCTATGAATCAGGCCCACCCTTTGGCCTCCATGTTGTCTTCCACTGCAAGTGTTCCTCACCCTTTTCCAAATCATCCCAATGAAAGAAAATATCACCAAATAATGTCCCACTAGTCTCAAGAAATGGACTGCCATGGTTTCCCCATTCATCCAAACCTTCCAAATCAAATCACTGATTGGACACATGCTCATGTGTCATCCATCATCCACCATCAGGTCATCACCTTTATGAAGGGGACGTGGTCTCCAATACCTCCAATCTCAAACCTTGTTGACCTTGAAGGGGGGACGTCGACATTAGTGCAGAAGGCACCCTCGGTCCTTCTTCCAAATACCCAGCCCATGCCAAGGAACCAGCGTGGCGCAGCCTGAGAAGACTCAATTGTGTGGGTGGTTGACTCGATTGGTGCATTCAATTGGATAATCTTTCTGGTTTCTTTGACTGAACATCCACGCACAGTATGCTCCCCAGTGTGCGATCAAACCAAGGAACAACAAGGAACAACCTACGAAGGCCTCAAACCTGAGAATACAAAAAAAAGGGAAACTGCTACATGCAGTTGATGTACATATTCTTCCTGCACAAAAGCGAAACCCATCGATAGACTGTCAAAGGTGAGACTCTGCTGAGTGCACAGGGAGCAAAAGAACATGACTGACTGAACCCTGCACCACATAGCGGCAGCGGAGTGTTCAGTCCTTCGCGCCAAAGTACCGAGAGACCTTGCGGATCTCCTGTTGGTCTAAAGGGTAAAGTGATGGAGTTCTATGGCATTATGGGAACTGCTGAAAGTAACACACAGCAAGTATGGAAGATTGAGCAAAACCAAGCGCAAGTTTCTGTCGGCAGCCGTGCCGAACAACCTGGTCTGCATATAATAATGGCAACATAATGAACGCTCCCCTGCTGACTCTTCTGTGAGGTTTCCACGTTCTGTTCAACGCTGCTCGCCTGTAGCTTCTGGTTGATGCACTGCGGAAGCTCTGAACTTGTGTGGTTCTCAGCATCAGTTCACAAAGTCACAGGCAAGAGTTTCTACTTATCAGTCCTGAAATACCTCGAGCCTTGAATCTGGTGTTCAGTGGGTCCAATTCAACAACTTGGTTGAGATGATGAGATGCATGCTGCTGCGGCAACCATCCGGATCCATGGACCCTGGAAAGGGCCTATCTCCCAATCTTGGGAGTGGTGTCTTTCGCATTAGCCAAAAGTGTAGCCTCTCAAAATGTATCAGCTAGCCCAACAGCAACGTTTGCTCTCAGAACTGCGGCTCTGGAGACTCCATCGCCAGAGCAAGCTGGAACATTCTGTCAATGAACACTTTGATCAAATCCGAGTTGTCCAATTCGAGTTCTATTTGAACAATCCCATGCTGGTCGGAATGAAATGGTACATCAACCCTGTCGGACTACGGAAAAGGCATAGACTACAAAACCTGTGAGCATGGACAATTTGTAGAGCAACGTATTCTTTACTGCAGACATCATCAGGCGCACAGGCCCGTCGCTACTAGTAAAGCAGCATTGTTACGCTCTACTAAGTTCGAACATGTTTAGCCGCAAAAGGACCGTAATTGCAATTCACTCACCCAAACTCCAATCCAAGTGTCTGCCCCGTCGAAAATCTCACAGTTCTCAATAGCCATCATGCAACCTGAACAAAACATACAAAACATGAATCGAGGACCAATACACTAACCAGAAGATGGACTTGGTTACAAATACCTGTTGGCCAGAAAGGCTCCTAACTTGCAGTCTGCCCAATCCAAAAAACGACAAACAAAACTCAAGCAGTGTGCCGGAGAGCGTACCTTCTTATAACCAACCCTTCTGAAACATCAACAAAAAGAAGTTTTGTTGACCAGTGCTAAGCCAGGCGCAATGCTGAACTAAGACATGTCTTTTTTGCCTCCTGGCCTGCCCGGTCCAAATTTGAGTTGTGTTTGCAAGACAATTTCTGGTCACTAAGGTAGTTATTCCTATGGGGCCACATGTTCATAAATGCATCACTACCTGGAAATCTTCCGTTCTACAGTACCCTTCACACCCCAAGATCACCCACAAACCCAGAGTTCTTCCTCAGTCACCCCCCAAGTCACGTCTCCGGATTCTTGGACAAGAGGCCGCCCATTGACACATTCTGAAACTGGGCGCAGAATGCTTTAAGGCTCTCCTGCAGCCCGCTCGGGCGAACAGCCGTGGCAAATCTTCACATCAGTTGGCCCTTTCACAAAAAAAATAACGTATATACCCAAGCTTCACCCGAAGAGCACTTTGTGTTGGGGAATGCAGGAGATTGAGGTATGGTGAGGTGAGATCACAGTCAGCCTGAAGTACCAATGACCAGTCCGTCCCTTCCCACGGTCCCACACCATATATTGTCCAACCTGCGCATAGCACCAGATCCAAACAAGGGATAACAAGGCGACCATGACCATTCTGTGCAATTCTGAACCCAGCCAAGTGCCTGGCACCAAACAAGTTGAAGGATCCCAACTACAAGCTGGTGACAGGATACCAGAAAGTGTTAATGTCCACAGAAGGACTGACTCGATCTAGGGAGACCCTGCCATTCGACTCCACTGTTCCAAAAAGCGCACCAGTGCCACCACTCCTCCTTCCGGCACATCTCGCAAGGGTTACAAAGCTCACACACCTCGGCAACGAAGGCATTCCACAAATGAATAAGGCTAAGGCTCCATGTGTCTGCTGGTTGGTGGGAATTTGCTTGTTTGGAGGCTCCGATCCACGATGGCCCATTCAATCAAGGAAGGACAATACATACAGTCACAGTTCATAGCCAATACTTAATTCGTATTATATATGTATATATGTGGGTAAGCCACAAGTATTATATGCAGCATATAATACTTGTAATGCAAGTCTGCTGTATATTATATACCGCCCCAAATGTTGGAGGTATAATAAGATCGAAGATACAACAAGCAGGATCCATAATTAGAAAAGATTCAGGTCCCAAATCTCATCCAGAAAGCTTTAGACGTGTGTTGCAGATTCTTTTCTGGCTCCTGGCTTGCTCTATAACGTTTTCCTGTACATGTCTATTGAAACATGTTCTTGCAAATCCAAAAGCTTTCAACATCCACATCCACTGGCGTTTATTTAACACCAGTTAGTTATGAAAGCTTCCCCTCAACAGTCTTGCAAAGGGTACCCCTTACAAGTGCCCAGGATCCACAATACAAAAGAGGTCCACAAATATAGGCCCTCTCCCTATTCTGGCTCCTGGCCTAGGAAATGAACGCAAATCAAAGCAAGCTCAAAGCAATCTGAAAGCAAATGAAAGGACAATGAAAGGACAATGAAAGCAGAAAGAAAGCAAATGAAATGAATTCCAGAAGAGACTACTAAGGGTACCAAGAAAGCCCCTGCAAAAAAAAAGAAAACATGGAGAGATGACCCCACCCTCATTGTTAGGAATCTCACTCATGTTAAGAAGGTTCATCCAATGAAAAACGGACAATGAATCCGGCAGAGCCAACGCTTGCTACAGCTTGTGACAACCAGTAACTCGTCTTATTAGTCTTATTGCAGTTATGTACAAAATACTTCGCATGATGCGTAACCCAAACAATTGTTGATCATTCGTCGGCTTGTCACGCATTGCCCCTCAACAGGTCAAAGCACTCTGGCAAACGGGAAAGATTCCACAGAAACAAATGCTCTGAAAGCAACACCGCCTCTCTTAAGTTTGCTATTAAGAGTGTCTGCTGGAATGAATGACTCACAATCTCAGGAAGAACTCAAGATTGTGCAGTTGCAAGTCCACTAGCAAAATAAGAAACTTGTATATATATATATATATACCAATCAAGCATTCAGTAACTGGCTTTAAAGTCCCTCATCAAACACTAGATGTCGGTAAGTGTTGTTCAAAACTGCAGTGATTACATAGTGGAAAAAGCATCGGAAAAAAAAGGCACAATTGCCTGGTTGCCTCGTTGCCTGGTCCTTAACATGCCACAAAAACTGCATGCAGAAATGTACTGAAATGTAACTTTGCCGCGGACACTTGAAAGCCTTAAACGGATACTCACTCTGTCCAAAAAGGGCATGTTATACCCACCTGGTCACCTGGTACTTGACACACACCCATCCTACAAAAGAATGTACGCAGTATCTCTGGCTTCGTATGTGCTCGCTGAGGGACATGAGTTTGTGACCAGTCCAGCTCAGTCTCCATGACAAAACCTTAGCTGCAACCACTTACAACTTGACGCTCTCTCATTGACCGGGGATACAATCCTGACGCCTGGTATCAGAGTCAAGCTGCAGGTCTAGTATAGCCCACAAATCCATGAACACTGAGTCTGAGCCTTGACAAAGGGAAAGGCATCCCTGTCTCTCATGTGGTGTATCTCATGGAGATATTGAAATTTATTCAAACAAATGAATAATGTGTCAGTTTCATTGTGCCTTGTTTGCCTTCCTAATACTGATACCTAGCAGCCTTAGCAAACACAGCCTCTTGCTTGTCAGCTCAAATGAAAGAACGTTGTTTTCAGATGTGTTCAGTGATCCCAGTGTCCAAAAGGCGCCGCAACGAAATGCACATGAACTGAGCACTTCCCTTGTCCGAACTCCGAGAGGCCTACCCGTTCCCGACCCGTGTCCAACTTTCGCAAGCAACTATGGCTTGACCTCACCGACCCCTCTTTGGCCTCAGCCTTGGTGCCTTAGGGTCTTATACCCCTTAGGGTTTGGGGCATGGCTACCCCCAAACAAACTTCAGGATCTCAAACCTTAGCGCCCAAGTTGCCCATGGCCAAGGAGTCAGAATTTTGGCGCTCCAAGTGTGCCATCAACCGCGGTAGATTCAGGAAGCCTCGTTGCGCATGCCCCAGGTGAAGGAGGCTGCTGCGGTTGTACATAATTACTTTGTATTACTTGGTGCATAGTACCACCTTTTCACTGTCCGTAAATGACGTCTGCATCGTAGGACGGAATGGTTTCCCACTGTGCCGTGCAACACAACATGAACTACAGTAACCTTTGCTGCAGCGCCGCAGGAGTCATCTTGAGCTGTGCCAAGAAACTGTCATCATCTAGGTACATGACATAGTCATGGTTTGGCCTGTCAGATCTCTGCATTCCATTCTCACCCAAAGGCGGGTCACAGCCGGTCACAGCTCTAACACATTGCGAAGGGCAGGCTTGGCTCCCGAGCCTTCCTTGATTTTCCGAGGCAAATGGTCTACGATTCTACTGCTTCAACAGGCTGCACAGTAATTTGCGAAAAAAAAGGCAATCCCTGGCCTGTGCTCCGCAAGCCACTTGCTTCCATGCAGGAGACGGTAGGTGCGAGCACACGGCCTGTCAACAACACAAAACCGTCGCCAAAGTCAACCAGACTGGACCTGAGCAAGAGTATGCAAAATGATAAAGTATGGACCCAGTAGGCACATCCATGAATTCAAGGGCGGTCATACCCTATCCCATCAAAACAGGATCACGCCAACCGTTTCTTGTCAAAAGGAGCCTCTGAAAAGAATCAGGCTTCAGTTATATAGTACCTTTTGTGTAGAAATTAAGCAAGTCAGGGGTGAACGGTGAATGGTACCGGGCTGTTGCACACATGCCGAGCACCTAAGTTCGTTCCCAGCATGGTAGTCCAAGGCGTGGGTAAGTGCGTGTTTGCTTGAACGCCAATTCTTCCTGGCAATGATCGAAAGGGGATATATATTCCATGCCAATGCATCGCTTAGCCAGCTGCTTACAGCCACCTTCACATGACAGCTTGCCAAGTGTCCTGGTTTCAACTACCAGTACTACGACTTGAAGATCTCGACCGTCTCCCCCGCTGTGAGCCTGTCGAGCACGTACCTTGGTTGTTGACAACCCAGAGGCGTCTGTGCAGGGCACACCTGGTTTCCATAGAACAAGCAGGCTTGCGGTTTTTGTTGCTGAGCAAATGATTCTATGAGCGAACAAAGTCAAGAAAGGATGGAACCTAGCTTCAAGACAAGGGTCCCATCCCATCTGGCTCCCTTGCATCTCTACTTCACACAAATGAAAAACAAACGTTGCTGCCACTCCAAGCCTGGATGCGTTACATCTCTCATCACTGGTGGATCACTGTCTGGGCCGCCCACCTGACTGCGAGCAATGTTTAATCGTGCCAGCTCCAAGTGACCAATTCTAAACGTGATTCTTGGATCCTGTGCCATTTGGTTTTCTATGTTCAATTATATATACATATATAACAGCTTCACGTATCCGCTCCGGTTAAATTCGGTGCACCACCAGTATAATAGAACTTGGTATTCAATTAAATCGCCACTTTTTCCATGCCTCCACAAGGTCTCCATACTGGGACTCCTCCTGCCACGCCGCAGCCTCGAGCAAAATTCAACTCAGCCCCAGGACCCAACTGATGCGCCAGTCTACCTCTGGAGAGATCTTGAAGTCAAGAAAACATCCTGACAAGTTGCGTGATTCCTGTGAGTTAAGTTTACTGTAATTCTCTCTTCCTTGTTAACTGGCACCTCACCTCGCCTCACCTGCGCATTGTGCAACAATGCCATCTCCACCCAGGCTCCAACAAACGTCACTTTTTCTCTGAAGAATCTTCTTTGTTTCAGAAGAGTTCAAGAAATAATGAGGCCGCTGAAAAGCTCGCAAAGGCCCAAAGAAATTATTGATCGCTCTAGCAGAAATGTTTTTTGCAGTGGCACATTGGGATCATACCGCCTGTACCCTACAAGTAGTGCGGAGATCAACCAGGCGGTCTACTCTTATTGACATATCAGTAAGTCTGGAGCTGAGCATGTGAGACATTTCCTCGCCCATTTAGACATCTGCGCCGACATTTGTGTGTCCATGACGTTGCTATTGTGCCTGGATCGCGCCAATGTCAGCCATTTTCTAGAGGCAGCCTTTGAGCTTGAATGTATGCAAGCCTCTTGGCCGACTTGAAGCCTTCTTGAAATGTCTATTGCTTTTGAGGGCTTGGTTGCTGTTTGTTGGCTTGGGACCCCTCCTAATCGTCTTCAGAAAAAGAAGTTCTCAGGTTCTTACAAGTCTCTTCAACACATCCGATATCATCACCTGGTTGGCGTTTTGATTGCTCAAAGAAAACAGAACGGACCAAAGAACATGGCAAGGAATCGTTACATCTCTGCCGCGAGCTGAGGTTGCTATATACTAGAAGATATTCTGAATCCCGTGGTTTTTGGTTGTCGATTGACCAAAATGACATACTTGGATTAGCAATGAACATGCATACCATGCATCTAGAGAATCTAGAGTCTGGGTGTAGTAATTCCTAATTCCCCAATGGTATCCCATGCTGGGTGCCCTCAAACATTTGTGACACACCAGACCAGCTCACACTGACAATTGAATTCCAAATGGTCCTGGTCGGCACCGGCGCCTCGTGCTCCTCTGAAGGGTTGGCCATGAAGAACAGCAACTCAATCTCACCCTGCAAGCCTTCTTTGCATTTCGCCCTGGGGCAACTGCAAATTTTCTCTGGTGCGTAAGCAATGTTGTTTGATGGGGTGGCTAGCAAGGTGTCCAAATCATACCCATCCACACTAGTCACTAGTTACATTACTGTATTGGTTGTGGAGTTTTCAGGATCTCCTCCCTCTCATTCTTGACTTGCAGAGTATGTTCCATTCTTTTAAGCTGTGCACATGTCAGTTCCCAGCAGTTGTGCTTTGCTGAGACCACACTGAGCCAAGCACACAGCATGACGTAGGAGCTGACGACGTTCAAAGGCGGACCAGCGGCTCGTGACCATGATGCCTCGAAAGTTTGCAGCGATATGATGTATATGTAGTGCTTTTCCTTGCTTTCATTGGTACTCAGTTACTAGTACTAGTGCCGTCAAAAAAGGATAAAAAAGGCACCCCTTCTGGCACCTTTACTCTTTCCAATTCATTCCCTGGATTTTGAAAAAGTCAAGGTTTTCTGTGACCAGTCGCCTAGGCGTAGGGCCTCAACTGACGAGAGCAGAGCTGCAGCCCTCCATGCCATGGCAGACATTCATCGAGTCAGCTGCAGCTTGCGACTGTTGATTGGCCAGGGGTGGCTATGGGCAAACAAGTAGGCGAAGGCCACAAGGTTGCATTGTGAGTTTCTGTGTGTTGAAGTTAGTCAGCAAGTGTCCAGATGCAGAGCTTTATGGGATCATTAGACATGTAGAACTACAATATAAAAATCCACAGCAATTTTTATGGTTCCTGTTGTACACAGACCGTTTGTGGCTCAAAAGATGCATTTCCATTGTACCTCTTGAGTGGAAGCCAGCATCCTCAAATCAAGATCACTCCAGCCCACAGTCAGCCCTACGAGGCTCAAACACCGTAGAGCCCCGTCCGGATGGCTTCCTCTGCCGCAAGCTTCTCAGCTTGCATCATCTTCCTGGCAGATGTGTTAAATGCATCGTGCATCCTATTGTGTCTTGGGAACAATTGCTTCTTGGGGGACAGTTCTGTTGCAACCACCAGTGGTTCTCATACCAATTCCACCCAGCTGATGTTTCAGGAAATCTCACTGGCTCATGCCAGCATTGGAAACTGCTTCCTGGCCTGCCATGGCCATCTCCCTAAAATCACAAACAAACCATCAAGAATCATCGAAACATGCCAGGAGTCACTTGCCCCCAGGCGTTGGACCAAAGGCTCGCACAGCCTGGGGGCGCGCGAACATCAGGGGCTGATGGCTCCAGCTTATAGATGATTGCAGGATCAAGGAACGGCAGCAAGGCTGAGCACCGTGCACTACCAAATGGGAAAATATATGGCATGGGGCAACTTTGAAGGATGGAATCTTCCCATTTCCCATCAGCCCTGAAACATGTTATTGGTCATCTGAAATATCAAGCGTTCATCCAACATGCTTTGCAACCAGTCTGTGAACCTTCAGGGCGAGTGGTCATCTAGGGAAAAGAAGTCACAAGTATTGGGGGCCTACAATTGGCAACTATTGGCTATTGGTGCTTGCATAAAATAACCTTGTAAAACCCTGTCCCTTGTCACTTGAAGCCTCAAGCTTGATCGGGAAAGAGAAGCACCAACAGGACAAGCCTACCCCTTTCCGGCAAACTTCTCCACAACCAATCTTTGGAAAGAACTCCGTACAAATCAACCGACTCTACAGAAACATTGTTGCAACGATTTAATCCTTGAGCAACGGCGCCATTTTGACCGTGTCGGCACTCCCCACACGGATGCTTTGCCTTGGTGATGTTGTCTTGAACCTGCAAGGCATCACTTTGCTTTAGCTGTTGTACTCCAGAAATGCATTGGTGTGACTTCAACATTTATCACAAGTCGGAGATGCCAGCAGAATCAGGAATGGCCTGGGAATACTGCAACAGACTGTGTAACCCAATAAATATTCCTGTGAGCCTGGCTGTACATGATCCACCGTGGATCCGCCCCCGATGCAAAACTCTGCACCACTTGAAGTGCGTTTCTCTTTCCTCTATAGTATATAGATATCAAAGGACTCTAGCAATCCTTTTGTGTCCAAGTGAGCAAAGGGCGTGTCCATGAACAGCAACAGCTGCTTGTTAGCCTGGCAAAGGCCGACCAACCAAGCAAAAGCTGGGAGCGATATCATCTCAGCGTGCCTGCTCCACACTGCCATCCGTGCCAGCCTGATGCACTCACTGTGAGTTGTGTTCGTTCAAAAATGTCACAATTCAACACCGGAAACGGTACGTGCCTGAGCAAAACCATGAAGGACAAGCAAAACAGGACGAAGTCGCAAATCCGCGCTTAATTTATGACACACCGACCACAAGTAATTAGGTTCTGATCACAAAGGTTCCTAGCCAGCCTCTGTGGTACGGCAACCAACTCGAAAAGCTAGGTTTTCAGTGGTGAGGGTGTCTCGAAGCTCTGAAACCCTCAGGCAGTGAGAAGAGTGTACCCAGAGCATGTTGCCGCAGTGCCGCCCCGAGCTGTTATTTTTGCAACCCTTCGGTCAAGCACTCCATCATCCAATCGATTCCAATCGTGTCAGGGTGGCCACCAAAGCCCTTTCAGTTCTGGAGACTCCACCACTGAAGATCTGCATTTGCCTCAGCAGCACGACTTCAAAAACTATTGCAGTGGCCTGGGACTCCTTGGACGTTCAAAGTCCCACATTATGAGGTCTCTTCACAAACTCCAAGGTTGCGACGCTAGCTGAGCTTGCCCACCTCGGAGACAGAAAGCTTTTGTCTGGAGATGGGGCACACCGTCAGGAAAATCCTGAAATCTTTGGAATCCACTTGGCCTTGGAACATTCTGAGCATGAAATGCTTGTAGATTTTTGTAGTATATACATGACCTCATTTGCCACACCTGCCGTCGTCCATAGTTCCTGAAGCCCGGACCCCGCTCCAGCGGGCCACTACCCGGCCGCCGCGCCAGCGTGCCGGACATGGCGGCGATTTGGAGGCGTCTCCGGGGTTGAGGAGTCGAGGATGAGTTGGAGTTGATTGAAGTGTAGAAACTGAGTTTGATTGAAGCGAGTTGGAGTTGGAGGATGAGTCAGCTCTTGGGATCCCAATGGGTCCCACAACATTGCTCCTATTCATGGGTTCATCCTGTCGTTTCACTCTTGTGAGCGAAACTTCCGAAAGTGAAAATATATTGAACTTATATAGGGGGTTCTCAGTTTGCCATCGATGTCATGGCCTCAGTGGGTTAGCTTGAATGCATTTTATTATACAGCTATCGCGGCGTATCGCGGCAGCAATGAGATGACCAAGTGAGAGTGGCAATTGAGGTTAATTCCACATCGAGCATCCACCGACCATTCCCAAAGTACATGATGAGATGACAACTCACAAGGTCCGGGAAAGAAAAAAAACTGTTTTGACATGTTTTGACTGTCTTTGACTTGCAGGATACACTTGTCCCATCTTGCAACATAAAGAAGTCTTTCCTGTCCGTCCTGTCCAGCTCATTTGGTTTCCACACACGTCTTCTCAATCCATTCAAGAGGTGGTTGAAATGGCAGCGAGAGCCATATTTGGCCATCTGCACTGGACTATGTTCTGATTGGTGAATACCAAGCCTGACCATGGCTTGGGGCATGCCACTGCAAGTCAATAGATCCTACACAGCTTCACTCCCCACGCTCAAGAATTGCAGGCATGAAGTGTTCCCGCACATCTGTAGTAGCGGGAGGCAGGCTCTCTTCCAGATCAAACTGATGCCAACTCTTCAACTGTTTGCTCCTGCTGCTGCAACACCTTGGAGTAGAAACTGAGGGATGACTTCACTAGTTTCTTTCAGATTCATCTAGTCATACAAAGCAATGACGAGGATGGTAAGCTTTGATTGTATCTTCTCAACCTTTCATGAAGGCTAAATGAAGGGTGTGTGGAGAAAGGGGGTCAGCAAAAATGGCTTGTACGAAGTTAGCGCATTCTGCAAAGATTTGTGGGTTTTTGTTGCAGTCAGTGTTCCTACTGGCCACCATTCCACGAAATGTCCACGAATAGCCCCAGGTTCCACGAATGTCCTGGACCTTCCACGATGTTGGTAGAATAGGTTTTTGCAAAACTCTTTCTGTCTGTGCACTACCCTTCCGTTTGCCTATGATTTCAATTGCATTCGATGTGTGCTTCAAGCACTATAGTTATTTGGACATGTGTCAATCAGCTGAGGTCGTTACTTTGCCTGAAACCACCGCAGCTGGCTCGTCGTCCACAACGAATCCTGGCATGTCCAGGAACGTAGCAAAAACTACAAAAGCGCGCAAGGAGCGCACGCTGCAAAGAACCTGCGATCTGCTTAGTTGTAGTTAAAAGGTGAATATGCAAGTCCTTCTGAATTGCCAAAGTCCTATAGGTTGGTACGACTCCACTCTGAGATGAAGCCATGGTCGACATCTTCGGACGAGGTCACCTTCACCAAGTCATCTGCGTGCCCATCTCCGAGATGGCTGGCACCGCGGAACGTGAAGCCGTCCATCAAACCGCATTACCTCAGCCAAAGTTCTCACAGAGATCAACTGACAAATTATGTCTCCAAATCAGAAATTTCAATGTATATATGTTTTTTCCACGCTTTGAACAAATGGTGCAGGGGTGTGCCTTGGGGGCGGAAATTTTTAAGGGTCAAGAGAGGCGGCTCAAAATGTGATATCTTCAGACAATTTGCAACCGAAAGTAACAGAAAAATGCCGTGTTCATAGTGTTTTGCCGCTGTTTTCAACATTAGGGACCTGTCTTGCATGTGGTTGTGTTGAGTCATGGATTTTCTATGTTTGAGTTTGCCATGGCTATCCCCAAAGCTTTTCTGAGACATTCTAAGTTCGAGATGTCAGGGCAAATCGTTTCCCTCCCTTGTTTTTCTGGAGTTTTTTGTGTTTCCCTTTCTTCTCATGGGCCTCTTTGACAATCTGTCTGTTGTGAAGCATTCCAACTTGGCCCATTTCCTTCCGACAAACCTCCTGGGCATGGCCTATGCGCATTTGATGTCTGCTTTCGAGTGGAGGCAATCAGCCATCCGTTCCTTTCCTTTGTTCTGATTTGTTTTCTCCTTACACTTTCCGTCCTGCCCGTTTCCCTCCCATCTACTTTCACCTTGCCTTGGTTTTCTATACCCTGCCTTCCGCACCTCTCTTCCGGCTCAAGAGCCTCTTTGACACGAAGTATTGTGGGGGATGCTAATTCAAATTTTCATTGCAATTTTGCACTGGTGGCTTTCAATATGTTCCTTGCAATGTATGTGTGTGTGTGCAACCCTTGGAGTCACAGCGATTCCTTTCAATTGGGGGCAGAGGGATCTCCAGCTGTAGCCTCTGCCAACGAAGCTCTACACTGGACGATCAGGTAAACGTACCTGCTGCGGTGCACTTGGGCGCATAGTAAGACGCAGCTGGTGACCACCCTTCACTTTAAATCCTCCAGACTTGCACGAGCCGTCGTCACCTTGTAGGTTTCTTGGTGATATCAACTTACCTGAACCCTTAGGCGGTCATACCTAGGTTGGCGTGTGGCAACATCATGTCCGTACGCATTTCTTTAAGTGTGTCTGGCTTCATGCCAGCCCAGGGTGAGCCGGAGGATTGCACCCTTTTTCCATGTTCCCCGGCTTGGGAACGCAGGTGTCCGTAGCGGACAGCAGGAGGCTTGTGCCAAAGTTATTTGCCAAGATTTGCTGAATTGTTGAATACAAGTAGGCAGCCTTCAGGCAAGCCATGAGGTGACCATAGCGGTCTGAGCAGCCAGCCATTTTGGCAAGGCACAAGGTGTCCACAGCGGTCAACGCTTTTGTATTGTCCATTGGGACCTGTCCCTACCTTAGGTGCACACACAGCGCGTACACTCCAAACCAGGCAGGTCTTCCTAGGTCTTTATGTCTTTCAAATGATCAAACCCAGGTTTCCCAGGCTTGCCAATCAGGTGGGGTTCATCGTTTGTCCCTGTGCACTTGGCTCCTCTTCATCGCAGCCACGTACACTTTTGTCCTGTCTTGTCCTCCTTTCATGTCTTCATCTTTTTGTCCTTGCTGCGCGCACGCATGCACATCAGTCCTGGCCTTAGTTCTTCTCGCCTCCCCTTGTGGGAGGCGTGTGTGTGTGTAACCCTTGGAGTCACAGGGATTCCTTTGAATTGGTAGTGTTTATCTTTTTCAGCAGGGGGCAGAGGGATCTCCAGTTGTAGCCTCTGCCAACGAAGCTCTACACTGGACGATCCGGTAAACGTACCTGTTGTGGTGCACTTGGGCGCATAGTAAGACGCAGCTGGTGACCACCCTTCACTTTTTAATTCTGCAGACTTGCACGAGCCGTCGTCACCTTATAGGTTTCTTGGTGATATCAACTTACCTGCACCCTTAGGCGGTCATACCTAGGTTGGCGTGTGGCAACTGCAATCATGTCCGTATGCATTTCTATAAGTGTGTGCGTGTTCGCGTTCCCTTCCCTCACTGTCTATTATTTCACACTTTCGTGACCCACTTTGACACGGGTTTTTGTAATGCATCCCAAGTATACAAATTCCTAAAGTAGGAGTTGTTCCTATGCGTGGTCGCATTGCAAGGGCACCCTTGTCCTGCCAGTCTTGTGTGCGTTCCTTTTCCGTTCCCTTCGCTTTTTTCCCTATCCTCTGCTCTCCTTTTCCTTTCTGTTCTCTCTGCCTTGTCCTTTTGGCTTCCCACCTGCCTTGCTTTTCATGAGCCTTCTTGACTATGTTGGTCGTTGGCGTTCCAAGTTTACAACTTGCCCCTGCCACGGTTCTACTTTTTCCCGTCCTTTGGTTTTCTATGCCCGTCCTTTCTTCTCCACTTCTCTTCCTATTCATAAGGCATTCCAAGTATACAACGTTCCCACGCAATTTTCTCAGTTCCCTCCTAAAGCCTGGATAGAGTAGGGATGTGATGTATGCTTTCGAGTCGTGGCATCCAAAGTGTGTCCTGCATCTTGCCTTTCTATCCCTTCTTTCTTCCCTTCCTGGCCCTTTCCTCCCTTTGCCCTTCCTTGCCAGTGTACTGTATCCCCTGCCTTTTCCGTTTCGCTTCCTGTTCATGAGCGTTGTCAGTTGACATTCTGTTTGTTGTGAGAAATACAGTAACAAGTAGAAGCTTTCCCTTGTCATGTCCCTCCTTTCCCTCCAATCTAGGCACGCATATGATTTCAAGTCGTGGCATTCAAAGTGTACCCATCTTCCCATCCTGACCATTTTTCTTGGTCCACCTCAAAAGTCTTGACAAGCTGCCCAAAAATCACCTTGAAGCCTTGGCATCAAAAACAAACAAACATTCTAAGTTCGTGGGACTGCGCATGGCCGTGGCAGGTTCCATAACCACATGCAAGACAGGTCCCAAATGTTGAAAACTATGAAAGCGGCGTTTTTCCTGTACTTGCGGTAGCAAATTCCCTGAAAGATATCAAAAGTTGATTTTTTAAAATTGTGCCACCTCTCTTGACCTCTGCCGCCCCAAAGTCACGGTAGACCCCTGCACTTTTCACCCCGCACGCTGATTTCGGGACTTCCAAAATTGCATTCCATCTTTCAGTCGGGGAATATAATTAATCACTTGATCTGGATTGAAATCTGACACAGGTATCGATTCCCGTGCAATGTGGAAACCGGGCGCGTTGTTTGATACCCTTGCCAGGCATGTCAAACGTGTCAGAACCCGTTCGCGTGTTGCCGAAGCCGGGGTGCTTTCCACAATGTGGAGTGTCTACGTGGCCTTAGGCCTTGCCAAGGCACCCTGAAGTTGGCTCGGCCGGCTCTGGCCCTGGAGGCAATGGCTCCAGATTCAAATTGGCCATGGCCTTCAAACAACGGAGGAGTGCTGAAAGAGCCATGTACACCCCATGCGGTTGAACAAATGAGGACAGGCTTTTGCACCAATGGCGAAGGCACGGGATTCTGGCTGGAAAATGCAGGAAAGGATAGAATGCATTCTGATTCCACAGTCTATCTTTATGATACACTTGCAATCATCAGCCCCTGCAAGGGAAACCGCATGCTTATTGCAGTTTGCGATTCTGACTTGAAGTAGGCATGTCCGCGTGTCCTGGAACGCCCTACGATCCAACGAACCTCTTCAGCCCAAAGGATGCTCTCATCCTGGCTTCCAATCTCATTGTTGATGTAGTAGTAGGTAGTAGATGATGGTAGTAGTATATAATATAGTACACTTGCCAACAGCCAACCACAAGCAACCTATGCGGGGTGAGAGAGGCGCGTTTTATGTGAAGCACATACCAGGAATTGATACTTAAATATGTCATCTCATTATGCACTTCATGTCAGGCCAGCATACTTCAAATCACTGCAGCTCCGAGGACAAGCACGAGGGCTTGTCACAGGCTTGTTCAAGAGAATTGTATATAGCTGGATTGTCAATTGAGTTGTGTTTTTACTGATGTAAGGTATCGGTATTACTGTATCATTTTATTGATGCCTACGCCAAGCCTACTTTCTGCCTACGCACTCACAGTTTTGGCCTACGCGCAGGTCGAAGTTAGGATAGGTTGCCTACGTGGCCTACGCGCGTGGAGTTTTTGTTAATCACTGGTTTGCCTACACGGCTACAGGGTTTTATGCTTTTCGCTGTTTTCGTCCATGCAAGGCGTTGGGTTCCTTCTTAGCCATGGCGAAAGGCCTACTGACGACAAAGGCAGGCTATATGGGCGAGGAAGAGTTGCAAGCCTTCACCTAGCCATGTCTGGGGCAAAGTCTTCCCGCACCCGTTTTCGCCGACGCCTACCCTACTGTTCGCCTACGCGGTGCCTACGCCTGCACTAAACAGTGTCCACCGGTTTGGACATATAGTCTGGGGCGGGTCTACACATGAATTATTCACTGGGTGTATAGGTCATTCCATCCCCCAGCCAATGACTTGCTAAAGCAAGAGTAACTCCAGCTAGCTGACGCTAGCATTCGTGACATGTTGGATCATGTTGGCCCAACCTGTGGTATGTCCCATGATGGTGCTCTACTCCACTAGCCACTGCATGTTGGTTTTGCTAATATGTGCTAATATCTTGCCTACTCCTATCCAGGTAGCAATTGAAATATTGAGAAGTTATACTTATTAAAGTCTTCCTGTATGAATCTTCTTGACCGCGGCTTCTGCCACACAAAAAATGCAAAACATGCCTACGCCAGGCTGCGCCAGCCTACGCCCCCAAGCAGAATGCTTACATTCAACCGTTTGCAGGTCAACCCTTATATTTGTCTTTACATCTATTTAAGAAAAAAAGCAAACTCTGCTCATTTGAGCGGAACACAAACTGGCACAAAATTGGCATGCACCCTAATCCGAGCTTTGAGGCTGTTGGTGAGATCGAACGTTGTGAGTCAACAACCTACGACTTGCAACACAAGGCATCAGCTCCTTCACTGGTGTGTCATCTTCCTCAATGATTTGCCGCGGGTGAAAGGCCTGGTGGATACAGAGCTAAATTGAAACACACAAACATTCAGCATGGAATTCAACATGGTGAAAAAATTACTTTACTTCGAAATTCCCCACCCTCAAAGAATTGGTCTTCACAAGAGAAAAGCGGTTCGGCGCGAAAAGGATTCTTTATTGAAAACAAAACCACACATCGAGTACTTACTTGTGAGGTTTCTGAACTTCGATATTTTAATGCCTGGCAACCCCGCATCCCTGCCAAGTCAACTTGTGGTGGATATGCTGTGGAACTGGTACTTGGGAGCACTCTGGTGAATGTGCTGGTGTAAAGGCTACGCTGGGCTACTCGGGGCCACTCTGGTGGATGTGCTGTGTAAGGGCTACTCTGGGCCACTGTGGGCCACTCTGGTGGATGTGCTGTGTTCTTTGGGTTGCTCTGAGCTACGCTGGGACCACTCTGGTGGATGTGCAGAAGTAGCGAGTCTACTGAAGTCCAAAGTTCTTAAAATCTAACAGCCCCACAGTCCTACGGGTGGGGAAAAAACTGCTTTGATAAGTACATTACAAGTCTACAACTATCCTGCGATCTCTTTGGTAAATGTGCTGTGGAGAAGCTAAGTTGCGCTACTAAAAACTGTGGTTGCTGTGGACAAGCTAAGTTGAACTACTTAGAAATCAGTTTGTGAATGTGCTGTGGAAGAGCTAGGCAGCTAGGTTTAGCTACTCAGGGATCAGTTTGGTGAATGTGGTCTGAATACTCAGAGGTCATTTTGGTGAATGTGCTGTGGAAGTGCTACGTTGAATTGCTCAGGGATTACCTTGGTGAACAGGGATCAGTTTGGCGAGCGTGCTGTGAAAGAGCCACTTTGGGCTACTCAGAGATCACCTTGGTGAACGTGCTGTGGAAAAGCTAGCTTGAATACTCAGGGATCACTCTGGGGAACGTGCTGTGGAAGAGCTACTTTGGGCTACTCCGGGATCTCTTTGGTGAACATGCTGTGGAAGTGCTGCGTTGAACTACTCAGGGATCACTTTGGTGAGTGCGCTATGGAAGAACTGCTTTGGGCTACTCAGGGATTACTTTGGCGAGTGTGGTGTGGAAGAGCTAAGTTGGGCTAGTCAGGGATTCCTTTGGTGAACGTGCTGTGAAAAAGCTACTTTGGGCTTCTCAAGGATTACTTTGGTCAACGTGCTGTGGAAGATCTAAGTTGGGCTACTCGCGGACCACTTTGGTGAGTGTGCTGTGGAAGGGCTAAGCTACTCAGGGACCACTTTGGTGAGTGTGCTGTGGAAAAGCTAAGTTGGGCTACTCAGAGACCACTCGTGAGTGTGCTATAGAAGAGCTAAGTTGGGCGACCGGGCGTACTGAAGTCCGAAGTTCTAAAAACCTAACAACCGACAGGCCTACGGGTGAGAAAAACGCAGCTTTTGTTGGCTTGATAAGTACATTGCAACTCTACAACTACCTTGGAATCACTTTGGTAAATGTGCTGTGGAGAAGCCAAGTTGCGCTACTAAGAACTGTGGTTGCTGTGGAAGAGCTAAGATGAGCTACTTAGAAATCAGTTTGTGAATTTGCTGTGGAAAAGCTAGGTTTAGCTACTCAGGGATCAGATTGGTGAATGTGGTGTCAATACTTAGAGGTCATTTTGGTGAATGTGCTGTGGAAGTGCTACGTTGAACTACTCAGGGATTACTTTGGTGAACAAGGATCACTTTGGCGAGCGTGCTGTGGAAGAGTTAAGTTGAACTAGTCAGAGATTACTTTTGTGAGTGTGCTGTCAAAGAGCTACGTTGAACTACTCAGGGATTACTTTGGTGAACAGGGACCACTTTGGTGAGTGTGCTGTGGAAGAGCTACTTTGGGCTACTCAGGGACCACTTTGGCCAGTGTGCTGTGGAAGAGCTGAGTTGCGCTACTCAGGGGCCACTTTGGCCAGTGTGCTGTGGAAGAGC